CCTCCAGACCCCCCCCAAATTCCCCTCCAGGCCCCTCCCCAGACCTGGCCACGCCCCCTCCCCCAAGCCACGCCCCTCCACTGGCCACACCCACCTGGAGGCGCGCGAGGGCGGAGCGGAGCTGCAGCACCTGCGCCTGCTGCTCGAAGATGGCGTCGCGCTGCTCCTGCACCCGCCTGCAGGGGGCGCTGCTCAGGGGGCGGGGCCTCCCCAGGGGGCGGGGCCACAGAATGGGCGGGGGCTCGGAATGAGAGGGCGTGGCCACAACACGCGGCCAATGCGTGGAATGGGTATGATGGTAAAATGGGCGTGGCTACAGTATGGGGTAGTGTGTTGAGGTGGATGGGCATGGTCACAAAATGGGCGTGGTCTCGCGGGGAAAGGGCGTGGCCACAACGGTTATTATGAATAGGCAGGGTTGAGGTGGAGGGGCGTGGTCTCCGCTTCGATGGGCGTGGCCACAACACGCTGTCACTATGCGGTTACGGAGGGGGCGTGGCTACAAACCAGGCGTGGCCTCCGGCTGAATGGGCGTGGCCACAACACCGCTATTGATACTGCGGCAGAGGGGGCGTGGCCACAGCGCTGAGGGGAGGGCCGGGCTGTCGCGGGGGCGGGGTTTCTGTCGCGATATGACGTCGCCTACCTCAGGTCGCGCTGCAGGACGTCGCTGACGAACGCCTCGTAGCGCTGCGCTTTCTCCGCCGCCGCCATGCTGCCTCTGACGTCATCGCCGGATGCGCGTCATCACCGCGCTGCCGCCTGGCGGGCGCCCCCTGCCGGGCGGGAGGTCCAAGCCCCGTCCTTCTCTCCCTATCGCGGTCGCATGTCGCGACATGCCCGCCGCTCTACCGGCGATAAAACCTTCCCGCGCGCCGAGTGCAGCCGGAACAACGCGGCCCGTGCCCCGCACAGCCCGTACCTTCCCCGGGTGTGTCCAGGTGTGTCACAGGTGTACCCAGGTGTGCCCCAGGTGTGTCACAGGTGTGCTCCAGGTGTGCCCCGGCTGTGTCACAGGTGTGCCCCGGGTGTGCCCAGGTGTGTCACAGGTGTACCCGGGTGTGCCCCGGGTGTGCCCAGGTGTGTCACAGGTGTGCCCCGGGTGTGTCACAGGTGTGCCCAGGTGTGCTCCAGTTGTGCCCCAGTTGTGCCCAGGTGTGCCACAGGTGTCCCGAGGTGTACCCAGGTGTGCTCCAGGTGTGCCCCGGGTGTGCCCAGGTGTGTCACAGGTGTACCCAGGTGTGTCACAGGTGTCCCGAGGTGTGCCCAGGTGTGCCACAGGTGTGCCCCGGGTGTGCCCCGGCTGTGTCACAGGTGTCTCCAGGTGTGCCCAGGTGTGTCACAGGTGTACCCAGGTGTGTCACAGGTGTCCCGAGGTGTGCCCAGGTGTGCCACAGGTGTGCCCCGGGTGTGCCCCGGCTGTGTCACAGGTGTCTCCAGGTGTGCCCAGGTGTGCTCCAGGTGTGCCCCGGATGTGCCCAGGTGTGCCCCGGGTGTGACCCAGATATGCCCAATGTCCCCCAGGTGCCCCGTGTCCCAGGTGTGCCCAGGTGTGTCCCAGGTGTGTTCCCAGCCCCCAGGTGTGACCCCAGGTGTGTCTCAGGTGTGCCCCAGGTGTGTCCTTGGGTGTCCTTCCATTACCCCAGGTGTGTCCCTTCCTCCCCAGATGTGTGCCCAGGTGTGCCACAGGTGTGCCCAGGTGTGCCACAGGTGTGCCCCGGGTGTGCCCCGGCTGTGTCACAGGTGTCTCCAGGTGTGCCCAGGTGTGTCACAGGTGTGCCCAGGTGTGCCCCGGGTGTGACCCAGATATGCCCAATGTCCCCCAGGTGCCCCCCAGGTGTGCCAAGGCTCCCTCCAGCTGTCCCCAACTGTCCCCAGGTGTGTCCCAGTTGCGCTCAGGTGTGTCCCAAATGTCCCCAGGTGTCCCCAACTGTCTCCAGGTGCCTCCCCCAAATTTTGGGGGGGGGGTCCCACACAGCCCCGCCCCCCATCAGCAGCCACCCAGCGCCAGCAGCTCAGGGATTTATTGACCCCGCCCACCTGGGCGGGGCGAAGCAGGGCGTGTCCGAGAGGGGCGTGGCCAAGCGGGGGGCGGGGCTTACACACTCACGAGCACACACTGAGAGACCCCCACCAGAATTGGGGGGGGGNTGAACACATGGGACCCCCCCCCCAGGATGGATTTTGGGGGTTCCAGGTGGATTTTGGGCACCCCAGGGGGATTTTGGGGTGTCCTAGGGGGGTTTTGGGGTGAATTTTCAGGGGTCCCGGGTACCCAAACCCCCCCTTTGTGGGGTCACAAAGCAGGGATGGATTTTGGGGTGAACCGAAGGGGTTTTGGGGTGTCCCCAGGTGGGTTTTGGGGGGACTTTTGGGATGTTCCAAGTGGGATTTTTGGGGTGTGCCCGGGGGTTTCTGGGGCGCCCCGTGGGGGGGTTTTGCGGGGGTCCCCAAGGGAATTTTTGGGATGTCCCCAGGGGCTTTTGGGGGCACCCCCGAGAGGAATTTTGGGGTGCCCCGGCTGGATTTTGAGGTTCCCAAGGCGAGTTTTTGGGGTGCCCCCAGTGGGATTCTTGGGATATCCCAGGGGGGTTTTGTGTGTCCCCGGGTGGGATATTTTTTGGGGTATCCCTGGGAGACATTTTTGGGATATCCCCAGGTGGATTTGGGGTATTCCAGGTGCATTTTGGGGTTTCCCGGGTGCTTTTGGGGTGTCCCAGCTGGATTTCGGGGTGTCCCTGGTGTGTTTTTGGGTTCCCCAGGTGTCTTTTGGGTTCCCTAGGTGTATTTTGGGGTTCCCTGGGTACAATTTCTGTTTCCCCAGGTGCATTTTGGGGTTCCCTGGGTGTTTCTGGGGCTCCCCGGGTGTATTTCGGTGTTCCCCAGGTGCATTTTGGGGTTCCCCGAGTGTTTCTGGGGTTCCCCAGATGTATTTCGGGGCTCCCCAGGTGTTTTTGGGGTTCCCCACGTGCATTTTGGGGTTCCCCAGGTGCATTTTGGGGCTCCACGGCCGTTTTGGGGCTCCCTGGGTGGATTCGGGGGCTCCCCAGGTGTATTTTGGGGTTCCCCAGGTGCACTTCGGGGTTCCCCGGGTGTTTCTGGGGTTCCCCAGACGTTTTTGGGGCTCCCCAGGTGCATTTCGGGGCTCCCGGTGTATTTTGGGGCTCTCCAGGTGTTTCTGGGGTTCCCCAGGTGCATTTCGGGGTTCCCCGGCTGTTTTTGGGGCTCCCCGGGTGCATTTCGGGGCTCCCCGGCCGTTTTGGGGCTCACTCGAAGAGGCTGGCGAAGCTCTGCCGCAGCGCCCGCAGGCTCTCGGGGGGGCCCTGCTCGGGGGCGGGGCTGCGGAATTTGGGGGTTCAGGGGGGCCCGAGGGGGCGGGGCCGAGCCCCTCCCCCCCCTTACACCC